GGTACACGTTCCACTTCAGCATTTTGCTCAGCCGCCAGGGCGAGGCAGAGCCTTCAGCAGGGATGTAAGGGATTCATAGCATATGTTATGGATGTAAGGGTTGAGTCGGAGAGACCGAGGTCTGTGGGAGAGGTTCCGATAGTGCGTGAGTTCCCGGATGTATTTCCGGAGGAGTTGCCGGGCGTACCTCCTGTGAGGCAGGTGGAGTTCAGTATCAATTTGGTTCCGAGGCCGCGCCTATTGCCAAAGCGCCCTATCGCCTTGCGCCTCAAGAGATGCATGAGTTATCCTCGCAGCTGCAGGAGCTGCTGGGAAAGGGATTTATTCGGCCGAGTAGTTCACCGTGGGGAGCTCCTATCCTTTTTGTCAAGAAAAAGGATGGTTTATATCGGATGTGCATTGACTACCGGGAGTTGAACAAATTCACGGTCAAGAACCGTTACCCGTTACCGAGGATTGACGATTTGTTCGATCAATTGCAGGGAGCATCTTGGTTTTCCAAGATCGACTTGAGGTCTGGATATCATCAGGTGAGGGTGCGAGAGGAGGATATTTAGAAGACCGCATTTAGGACTCGTTACGGGCATTACAAGTTCGTGGTGATGCCTTTCGGGCTCACCAACGCACCAGCGGTGTTCATGGACCGCATGAACCGGGTGTGCAGACCGATGTTGGATCGCTCGGTGATCGTATTCATCGACGAAATTTTGGTGTATTCAAGATCTAGAGAGCAGCATGAGGAGCATCTGAGGGAGATCCTAGGGGTTTTTAGATCGGAGAGGCTTTATGACAAGTTCTCCAAGTGTGATTTGTGGTTACGAGAGGTCCAGTTCCTGGGACATCTCGTTAATCAGAAAGGGATATTGGTCGACCCGGCCAAAATTGAGGCGGTGATGAGTTGGGAGGTGTCGAGGTCACCCACAGAGATTAGGAGTTTTCTAGGTCTGGCAGGCTATTATCGGAGATTCATCAGGGATTTCTCCAAGATCGCCATGCCACTCACTAAGTTGACCCGAAAGGGTGTAGTTTTTGCTTGGGGTCCAGAGCAGCAGGCCTCCTTCGAGACACTTCGCCAGAGATTATGCGAAGCCCCGGTGTTAGCCCTTCCGGAGGGAATGGAGGATTTTGTGGTATATTGTGACGCGTCGATATCAGGGTTGGGAGCAGTACTTATACAGAGGGGTCAGGTGATAGCGTATGCATCGAGGCAGCTGAAGCCTCATGAGGCGAGGTATCCTATCCATGATTTAGAGTTGGGGGCAGTATTGTTCGCCCTCAAGATCTGGCGTCACTATTTATATGGGGTCAGGTGTACCATATACACGGATCACAAGAGCCTGAAGTACTTGATGGATCAACCCAACCTGAATATGAGACAGAGGAGATGGCTGGATATGGTAAAGGATTATGATTACGAGATCCTGTACCACCCGGGAAAAGCCAACATGGTGGCCGATGCTTTAAGTCGTAGGGCGGAGTGTGTTCCAATGCATGACACTTGTATGAGGTTGACGGTAATGACTCTGGTGTTGGACACCATTCGAGGAGCTCAGACCGAGGCCGTTAGGCCAGAAAACCAGAAGAGAGAGCAGGTTGCCGGGCAAGTATCAGAGTTCGTCACCGATGGTCGGGGGTTTATGACATTTCAGGGTCGAATCTGGGTACCGCATGTGGGTGGAACGCGTACCATTTTGATGGAAGAGGCTCATCGATCGAAGTTCTCGATCCTTCCCAGGGCCACTAAGATGTATTTGGACCTGAAAAGGGAGTATTGGTGGCCCTGTATGAAGATGGACGTTGCATGGTTCGTGGAGAGGTGCCTAACATGTCGCAGGGTTAAGGCCGAGCACCAGAGACCGCACGGCAAGTTGCAGTCGTTAGAGATTCCCGAGTGGAAGTGGGAACAAATTGCCATGGACATTATCACCAAATTGCCAAGGACCGCGAGGTGCATTGATGCAATTTGGGTGATTGTAGACCGGTTGACGAAGAGTGCTCATTTCCTCGCTATTAGCGAGAGCTCTTCCGCGGAGAGGTTGGCGGAGATGTATGTGAGGGAAGTGGTAGCACGGCATGGAGTGCCGATCTCGATTGTCTCAGACCGAGATGTGCATTTCACCTCTAGATTCTGGAAGAAATTCCATGACGAATTGGGTACTAGACTGCATTTCAGTACCGTGTACCACCCCCAGACTGACGGACAGATTGAGCGGACGATTCAGACGCTCGAGGATATTCTCCCGATATGTGTGTTGGACTTCGGCGGGAGTTGGGACACATACTTACCCTTGGCGGAGTTTTCCTACAACAACGGCTATCATTCGAGCATTGGTATGCCACCCTTTGAGTTGTTGTATGGGAGGAGGTGTCGGACCCCCATTTGTTGGGGAGAAGTAGGGTAGCGTGTGATGGGTAGTACGGAGATAGTGCTTCAGATGTCTGAGCAGATCTAGCAGGTCAGTCAGAGGTTGTTGACCGCTCAGAGTCGCCAAAAGAGTTATACTGATAGGCAACGATCCGAGCTTGAATTTCAGGTCGGTGATTTGGTGCTTCTGAAGGTATCTCCTTGAAAACGAGTGATTTGATTCAGAAAGAGGGGCAAGTTGGGACCCCAGTATATCGGGCCGTTTAGAGTGATCGTGAGGGTGGGCAGGGTAGCGTATCGCTTGGAGCTACCTGCAGAGTTAGTACAGATCCATGACACTTTCCACGTGTCGCAGTTGCGGAAGTGTATAGCAGATGAGTCGACAATGGTGCCATTTGAGGACATTCAGGTGGATGTGAGCCTGAATTATGCTGAGAGACCGGTGGCGATCAGGGATCGGAAGATCAAGGTTTTGAGGAACAAGGAAGTGCCTCTGGTTTTGGTTCAGTGGCAACATCGGAAGGGGTCCGAGCTGACTTAGGAGCCGGAGCGTGAGATGCGTGAGCAGCATCCAGAGTTATTTCCAGAGTGAGACTTCGAGGGCGAAGTCCGATTCAAGTGGGGGAGAATTTTAACAACCGGATTTCCAGGTATATTATTTTATTTAATTATTTTGGAGTTTGTGGAGGAACTCGGCGAGTTAAAGCCAAGACTCGCCGAGTAGGGTAGCGGATGTTCATCCGGGTTCTTGTCCGGACTCGGCGAGTCCATGGTGTTTAATGAAACCCTAATCCCCCGGGTTTGGAGCTTATTTAAGGGCACTTATAGCCTCCCATTGCGACTACCAGCCCTTTTGAGAGAACCCTAAGTGAGCTAAATCGTTTTGGGAAAGAAGAAGTGACTTTTGATCCTTGTACCTTTGGTTTAGCAAGAAGGAGGTGAACAAGAGCAAAGGGGAGGTGAGATTCTAGCAGTTCCAGTGTTCAGAGACTTCATTTTGAGGTAATAGTTCGAACCTCCTTCAGTTTTGGTGTTGATCATTAGAGTTAGGGTTTTCTAACCCCTTTGGAGAGTGATTATGTGGAGCAAATGGTCCCTCTTCGAGTTTGTGCCTTGGATCTGGACTCAAAGAGGTCCAGAGACCTTAACCCTTGGAGCTTTATGAATCAGTTTGGGGTTATTGGACTTAGGTTGCCATTTTTGGGACTAAATCTACTTTTGATGCCTTGTTGTTGTTATACAAGCATCAAGTTTCGAACTTTACGTGACATTCATGCTTGGGAAGGCCAGATCTTTGATTTAGGGAAACAGATCTGACCTTAGGAGGTCAGTAGAGTTTGTGCATGGCATCAACTCACCGAGTTGTTCCTGAGACTCGGCGAGTAGGGTTAGGGTTTCACGTAAATAGCTCAGTGAGTATACTTTCTGAGTTGGGGGATGACTCAGTGAGTCAGAAGGGAGTTAGAGGACTGGAGTTCAAGGCGGTACTCGCCGAGTTGTTCTTGAGACTCGGCGATTTGAGTCGGGGTGGCCCGGTGATTCATGCCTAGTATGACTCGTCAAGCATAGGAAGGAACTTGGCGTGCCTAGCGGGACAAAGTGTTAGAGAACATGTGTGAACTCGCCGAGTCACCAGGGTGCACTCGGCAAGTAGGGTTGGCTAATGGAGTACTTGTGTCGAGAGGGGGGGGGGGTAAATAGCCTTTTACCCTCCTGAGGGTGCCAATGGCAGGTTGAGTCTAGTCTCGAGAGTTATATTTATAAGAGTATTTACTTTATGTGAATAGGCGAAGACTAGGCAATATTTCTACCGAGTCAGAGATTTACCGAGATGCCTGAGTTGAGTCTTCTCACTATACTTTACTTAGTGTGGTAACAGAGTTATGTGATAGAGTATTTTAGAGTTATATGCAAGTATAGTTGCATGTTATTTATGTGCTATGATTTATTGTGATATGTGCTATGCATGATTCAGAGTTGCAGAGTTAGGACCTTCGGGTCCATAGAGTTAGGACTTTCGGGTCCACAGAGTTAGGGCCAGAGGGCCCATAGGGAGTTGGGGTGGAGGGCCCCACTGAGACACCTAGACCTAAGGGTCAACAGAGTTACAGCCTTGAGTGGCTATTATGTGTTAGAGTGGTATTTTGGGGAACTCACTAAGCATTATGCTTACAGTGTTATGTGTTATGTGTTTCAGGTACCAGTGATGATTGCGGGAAGGTGCCGACATGATTCGTACACACGCACACCGGAGTTTATATATATATATATATATATATATATATATATATATATATATATATATATATATATATATATATATAGATCGTAGGTTTTGTACCGATACAATGTTGATACAATGTTTTATTTATGATTATAAATGATATTTTATGGGTTACAAAAGTGAAAAATTGTTCAAAATTTTACGGTGTTACAAGTTAGACAAGGGGGGTTTTGGAAAAGTTTACAAAGGTAACATTATGAATGGATCAAATGTCGTCGTTGCTGCCATTAAACGGTTGGATTCGATGTTTGCTCAAGGAGCAATAGAGTTTTGGGCAGAAGTTGAGATGCTTTCCAAGTTACGACGTTGTCACCTTGTATCTTTGATTGGTTATTGTAATTATAAAAAGAGATGATCCTCATCTATGAATACATGCCCAATGGAACACTTGAAGACCACCTCCATAAACTTCCCCATTTCTCTTGGATTCAACGACTCAAGATCTGTATAGGGGTTGCCTGTGGGTTAGACTACCTTCACACGGGTACAGGGATTGAGTTTGGTGTTATTCAAGAGTTCAAATATTTTGTTACATGAAAGCTGGGCAGCTAAAATTTCAGACTTTGGGTTGTCAAGAATTGGCCCAACGAATAAGTCATCTACCTATGTCAACCCACTTGTTAAAGGTACTTTTGGGTATCTTGATCCAAATTATTTCTTTACTGGAAGGTTGACTAGAAAGTCTGATGTGTACGCTTTTGGGGTGGTGGTGTTGGAGGTGCATTTTTTATTTGTTATTTAGGTATTGCACAAATATCTTTATGATTTTATAAAAAATCGATTTTGATACTGCATTATTTTCTGTTAAAATTTAGTCTCTAAGTTTTTTAGTTTTTGCAATTTTGACTACTTGATTAGTAAATCCGCTTACCCATTGACGTGGCAGGTTAACATTGCACTATTTTATTATGTGGTGCTAATGTGTCATTATGATGTATTAGAATTGAAAAAAATAACACAAAAGGCATTAAGTTTTATTTTTTTAAATTTTGACACTAGCTTTTCACTATTTTTCAATTTTGACACCATTTTCTTTTTTTAAATCGAACATCATTTTTTTCTCATTCAATGTTGACAATTTTACATTTGAAATCGTATAAATATTTTTATACAATATTAATTGTCGTAGGCTAAAGTTTAAAAACAATTGATTGGGTACAAGTAAATACCAAAAATAAAAGTTATATGGTGGTGGAAAACCTATGTAATCTGTTTGTGTTCATCGATTTCAGCTCATGGTGTAGCGATTGACAAGAAATGTTTCACAAGTCCTACAAGTTTGAAAATGTTTAAGTTTCTTGATCTGCAAAGGGCTACAAGAAACTTTACTCCAGATTTGCTCTTGGGCAGGGATGGTTTTGGAGACATATTCTTAGGTTGGTTTGATAAGAACACGTTCGGCCTTTTCAGAGGGTGCTGGAATTGTTGTTGCTGTTAAATGGTATAATCAAGATCATCCAGAATGGCAAGTAAGTATCAATGAATATACATAAAATTATATCTATGATCAACACCAGAAATTTAGATTTTTATGGAAAAATGTTGAACTCTATGTTTTGGTTCTCCTTTCACATCAATTCATCGTCTTAATAACTCTGTTTCTCTCCAAAAAAAATGGCTTGGGAACATTACATTTGAACCATGGTTGTTAACAAGTGAGAAATGAACATATATGAAAATTTCAACCGTTATTTTTAGGAAAAATGACATTATAGACTATCAAAGTATTTTGGTTTAAATGGTCTCCAAAATTATTTTGTATAAGGTAAGTTTTATCGTGTTTAAACAATTCTTTTAGAAATTATGAAGGGGTAACCACATAAGCAATTCTCTTGGCCCCACTTCCCTTCTATAACCGGGTAATCGGGTACCCGTTACCACATAATCAATTCAACAACCTTTATCCACCAATTCTTATTTTTCAACCATCATCCCACCTTATACCCACCAACAAACACCTCCACAAACCTTCATATACAAACCTTCATCGCCAATTTCACAACCCACATCTGCAATTCTAACAAAAACAAAGAAGTTGGGAAGAGTCTGCTATCGATTCAGAAGGGCGAAGTGGGGGATAAAAAAAAATACATACAAACACGAACATATGGAATCTGAAAATCAAAACCATAGTCACAGGAATTGCTCTATCAGCCATGATCCATGATCTGATCAAAACATTCCCAAATACGATACAACGTCGTACCAATCGCACGCAAAATCGTACTTCGGTACGACAACATAACGATCTCACCGAATCGTAAAATTTTTTATTGGAACGTGTTGTTACCGATCAGAAAAGCTTCACGTCATGATTGGGATCGCCGCTTTGGCATTTGGGATCGCCAATTTTCAGAATTGATCACCGACTAGGAGTTTGGTGGGAAAACCAACGACCGTTAAAAACTCAACTTCACATCCGGCTCTTCGATTTTGTTTCTGTGTGATCAGACTTGTGGTATTGATGCCATTGATGGAGCTTGTTGTGAGTGGTAGTGAGCAAAGTAGATGATCTTGCTGAAGAAAAACAATGAGGCGAATTGATTTGATATTTTCCCTAGCCATGTCACTCCTTATGTGGCTACATGTGGTAAATTGAACCGGTTAATTTAGGTTCGGGTTAAAACGTGTTATTTCCAACATTATGCCAAAAAAGGGGACTATTTATAGACCAAATAATAAAACTTGGTAGGCTACAATTACAATGTCATTTTCTTTTACTTTTATATCTACATTTATGTTGTGAACAGAACTTAGGAATCTTTTTGATAATAGGGAAAATGACTTAAAAGACCAATTAAGTTTCAAAAACGTTTATATTACCCCAATTATGTTTTTGCTGTTCAAAAAAAAACCAACGAAATAATGTTTTTTTATTATAAATCCAAATAAAGTTACCAATAAAATTAAGGTTTTTTAATGGTGATCGGCATCTGTGGGTTATGCTTCTTTGTTTACCGGTGATCAATGGTTTAATCTGACATGGATTATTAAAACACATTACGTGAAACATAAATGCCACAAGGATATCGATTCACCATCAAGGGTTCTCAGTGAAGGGTGAAATCGATATCTAGGGTTCTTACACAACGGTGAACGGTGAACTCGTAACAATGAAATTGATTTTTACAGAAGGTGAAGGAAAGTTCGTCGATTGTGCAGCAAGGGTTCTCAGCATGTCTCGTGCAGCAAGCATGTCTCGTGACTCACTCAACATTGATGTCTACCTTAAAGGTGTTTTTTTTCCTAATCCCTTTATTTACTTCCATCATCATAAAGTACCTGTTATGGGGCTAGATGTACGTAACATGGATTTCAAGGAGTTCAAGACCTATCTCCAAAAATTGATCAACAATAGATGTCGGGATATGTATTACTGTCTTAAAAATCGGTCCCTCGTAGATGGGTTAAGGGAGCTCAGGGATGAAGATGATTATGTTAGGTTCCTTGATTCTGGGTTTGATGATGATAATAATCAAATAAGCATCTACATTGATGCCTATCATGAACCCTTACTAGATTGGATTGAAGAAGAAGAAAAAGCTGAAGAATGGGACAGTGGTACTGAAACATATGAAGATGATGTGGACTCGGTATTGTCGGATGATCTATCGGTGGACCATGAAGCTGATGATGAGGATATTCAATGGCCTGAAGTTGTTGATCCTTTTTTGTCACAGAAGAATTTTATTCCAGAAAGAGGCATAGAGGAAGAAGCTGGTGATAAGGTAAAAAACATCCTATTCACGATCCAAACTAAAAATGGGACACTATGATGCCTGAGTTAGGTATGAAATTCTCTGATCGAGATGAACTGAAACATATGTTAACAAATTATGTTGTATCTAAGGGTTATTCATTGTGGTATGAAAAAAATGAGGCAACAACCTTGTTAGTAAGGTGCAGTAAAAATGAAAAAGGGAAGCCATCTTGCCCTTTTAGACTATAGGCTAGTCCCATGAATAAGGAAAATTCATTCCAGATCAAGTCACTAATTGATAAACATAATTGTGCTAGACAACAAAAATTGGGTTGTCTTGTTACGTATAAGTGGATTGGAAAAATGTTAATACCTGAAATTTTGGAAAGGCCTAAGTTTAGCTATAGGAAAATGGCAGAAGTGGTTAGGAAAGACAATGGTCTCAAGGTAAGTCTTGGGCAGTGTAGAAAAGCCAAGTACTTTGCACTAGATGAGATTTCAGGAAATTTGGTAAGCCATTATGAGAAATTGTGGAATTATGGTGCTGAGTTATTGAGGGTTAATCCTGGGTCAACAGTCTTGATCAAGACAAATCATACGCCTGATGCTACACACTACTTCAAAAGGATGTAGATTTGTCTGAAGTCTATCAAGGATGGATGGATTGAAGGATGTAGAAGGGTTATCAGTGTTGATGGCTGTTTTTTGAAGGGTATTTGCAGAGGTGAGTTGTTAACAGCCATTGGTAGGGACGCAAACAACCAAATGTATCCTCTAGCATGGGCTGTTGTGCTAGTTTAAAACAAGGAAACTTGGATGTGGTTCATTGATCTTCTACTTGAGGACATTGAGATGGGAGATGGTAGGGTTCTTACAATTATTTCGGACCAACACAAGGTGTGTTATAGTTTACATTTTACTTACTATATTATGTGTTATTATGTACTTTAAAACTGAAATTTGTTATCACCTTGTAGGGCTTAATGGAGGCTGTTAAGGAAAGGGCACCATCATGTGAGCATAGGAATTGTTCCCGACACATCTTTGCCAACTTTAAGAAGAAGGGGTTCACGGGTGTTGAGTTTAGGAGGTTATTTTGGAGGGCTGCAAAGGCTACAACCGTTTCCACTTTCCGCTCATACATGAGGGAAATTCGTACAATGTCCACAGAAGCTTATGAGCACCTGATAGAAAGAGACCCAAATACATGGTGCAGAGCATTCTTTGAACCTAAGAGTTGTTGTGATGCCGTGGAAAATGGTATATCTGAATCTTTCAATGCAACAATTGTAGAGGCCCTGAAGAAACCAATAATAACAATGCTGGAAGAAATCAGATTGTACGTGATGGAGAGGATGTACAATCAAAAGATTAAGGGGCATAAGTGGGACATGGAAATCTGCCCCTCTATTAGAAAGAGGATTGAGAAGATGATAGAACAACAAAGGTATATTATTTATTTGTAAGTGATTTAATATGAAATAACCTACCTTCTTAATATGATTTCAGGTATTGGGATTTTATTCCAAGTGGTGAGGAAGAATATGAAGTGAAATTAGCCCATCAAGTTTATGTTGTTCACCTTGAAAGCAAAACTTGTGGTTGCAGAGCCTGGCACCTCAGTGGTATCCCTTGTGTGCATGCCATTGCTGCTATATTATACCTGAATGGAAATGCAGAGGACTATGTAGCCGTATGGTTTAAAACAAGCATGTTTGGAAGTTGCTATTGGTATCCAGTCAAACCAATAAATGGAGCTAACATGTGGCCTGATGTTCTATGTGATCCCATATTACCACCTCGGCGTAGGAGAATGCCAGGAAGGCCCAAAGTAAACAGAATGAAATGTCCTACAGAAAATGAAGGAAGGCATACAATTAACAAGACAGGGATGTCCATCTCAAGATGTAGTAATTGTCATCAAGAAGGACACAACAAGAGGCGATGTCCATTGCTCACAAAAGGTTGGTTTTTATTTTGATTATTCATTCATCTATATTTGTATAATAATAATTATTTTTGTTTTAACAATGCAGCAAATAAAGCAACTGTTGGTGAAGGGGTTGTTGAAGAAGGGGTTAGTCAAGATGGGATTAGTGAAGATGGGGTCAATGAAGATGGGGTTAGTGAAGATGGGATTGGTGAAGAAGAGGCTGTTGAAGAAGGTGATATTGAAGACCACTAGGAGGATGAAATTGAACAACAAAAGGATGAGATTGACCATCAAGTAGATGAAATTGACCATTAAGAAGATCATGTTGAAGGCAATCAAGAAGTTCATATTGAGGATCATCAAGAGGGGGTTGTTGAAGATGAAGCTCACCACATTGAATTTGTTCAAGATGAAGCAAACCATGAAGAGGCTGTTGACCACCATGAACCTGATTTTGATGAAGTTCATCACCATCAGCATCAACCTGTTTTTTTTTCCAGCATTTCGTTGCAAACAAAAGGCGATTACCTTCTGAGAGGATTACGAAACTGAAGTTAAGGAAGAAGGTGGTAACAAAAGATGGAAGTGGGGAAAGTCATGAAAATCTAGTCACTTTAAACTAGGATAAGTGTGTTCTATTAGGATTATGTCAAATACTTTGAAATGGCACATCTTTTGGTGCTTAGTGCACATCTTTTGGTGCTTAGGCTTGTCTTTTTGATGCTTAGGCTTGTCTTTTGGTGTTGTGCACATTTACCAACATTTAGTGCCATGTGCACATGCTTAATTATGTGGTTTAATTATGCTTGATATGTAGTTTATTACCTTTTATGCATATTATAATAGTGTACCATTTTGCCCCTATTTGTTAAAACTATGTTAAAATTGGTAAAGACTGTTTTGTGGGGCATTACCTTTTGTAGGCCACCTTCATAGTTTGAAACAGGTTTTATTGACTATTTTGCCCCTGTTATTATTATGTGTGTTTTCAATAAAATTTCCCTTGTGTTTAAAAACCATTTAAAAACCTTCCCCGGGTGGGTCGAAGGCATTAAGTAACTGATTCTTTGTTTTTGTCTAACAAGCAGATGGTTTATGATATGAAGATTGAACCCAGAAAAACATAATTTCTATTTATAAAAATCACAGGACCATCAATAACTTTATTGTTGGCTATGGAAAAGGCAGGTTAAGGTGTTTCCCTGCGGATCCTGAATGCGTGTATGATGTGGTGAGCTTTCTGGAGCATTTTATTCCAATTTAATGTTCATCTAGAAACCATTTTGTTTGAATGATAATAACATAGAGTAAACATTGGTAGGTATCGGCTGACATAGTGGTGTATGCTATGATCACTGCAATCTTAGCTAATACATATCAAACTTCTTCTATAACATTTTATCATATTGGATCTTCGGTGTCAAATCTTTTGAAGTACACCATGATACAAAATGTGCTTACCTGTATTTTACTCAACATCCATGGACTAACAACGATGGGAAAGTAGTCATAGTTGGTAAGTGTAAAGTGTTGAAAAGGATTGTCACGACTATTTTGCCCCTGCTATTATCATTTGATAAAGTGTAATCTTCTTATGGACTATTTTGCCCTTGCTATTATCATTTGATAAAGTGTAATCTTATTATGGACTATTTTGCCCTTGCTATTTTCAATAAATAAAACTATGTTACTATTATGTGTGTTTTCAATAAAACTGCCCTTGTGTTTAAAAACCATTTAAAACACAAATTACATGCATAATGTCAAACACTTTTATCGACTATTTTGCCCCTGTTATTATCATTTGATAAAGTGCAATCCTTTTATGGACTATTTTGCCCCTGCTATTATCATTTGATAAAGTGTAATCTTATTATGGACTATTTTGCCCTTGCTATTTTCAATCAATAAAAGTATGTTACTATTATGTGTGTTTTCAATAAAACTGCCATTGTGTTTAAAAACCATTTAAAACACAAATTACATGCATAATGTCAAACACTTTTATGGACTATTTTGCCCCTGCTATTATCATTTGATAAAGTGCAATCATATTATGTGTATTAGCCTTCATAAACACCTTCTATGTGTATCAGTCTTCATAAACACCTTCTTTTCATTCCCACTTCGTAACCATATTACATGAGTACAATGAAACTACTTTGAAGATACATATCCTGATAATTTCAAAGTACATTTCCCTTACATAATAACATTAACACTACATCATGTACTTCACTACAAACAAAACAACAAACATCAACACGAAACATTTCATTTTATCCAATTCCTTTCTAAAACTCTTACATTCCTTATCAATCTTCATCTTGTACTCACTGAAATCATGTTTCAATATTGCAATATTCACTTCAGTATTGAAATCATGTTCTTCATCTTTCTTATTCTTGTTCTTGGTTATAATTTCTTCATCATCATCAACCCATTCCTAGAAATCACATTTATCCTTTGGATCCTTCATCTTCAATTATAACATAAACAAACAATATTGTAGCATGAAAAACAAAAAGGGACCCAAACAAGAACAAGCTTTTAGATATACTTACCAAAGAGTGAGGATAAACCCTAAATTTTTTACCAGGATTTGCCTTTGTTGTTGATATCCAGATGCGAGAAGGAAACCCACAATCACAAGGATTTGCCTTATCAATTGTGCTTTTTGACTTGGAAATTTTTGATCTTGAGCATGAGTTGGAGGATCGAGACGAAGAAGCCATGTTGAAGAAGTCGATTGATTAAGGAGTCGTATCCCCCATTATGCCCTATATCTATCTAACACAAATGCCACATAGATATGCCAACTCAACAGAAATATGCCAACTCATTTACCCCCATCGTTTACCTGCAAGATGCCGGTCACCATTAAAAAACGTTAATTTTACTGGTAACTTTATTTGGCTTTATAATAAAAAACATAATTTCGTTGGTGTTTTTTGAACAAAAAAACGTAATTAGGGTAATATGAACGTTTTTGAAACTTAATTGGTCTTTTAAATCATTTTCCCTTTGATAATATGATGCTATAATGTTTGTTTTATCAATTATTTTGTTGAACGTAATTTAAAATTTTGTGAGATCAGAAAGCGGTGACAGTCTTAGCACGGTTGACTCATCCAAATATTATTAATCTCTTGGGGTGCTCCAATGATAAAGAAGGCGAATGCTTGGTTGTTTATGAGTACATGCAAAACCAAAATCTTGATCGCTTCTTATTTGAAGGCAAGATACTTGAATCTCATTGAAACTATCATTGGGTTATTTTCTAATCAATAGTTGGATTGTTGCAATCACACAATTAAATAGTTGATGTAATTCCATGTAAATTAATGTTGCAGATGCACGAGATGTCTCCAAGCAACGTTCATGGGGAGCACGACTTAAAATAATGATAGGAGTAGCCTGTGGACTCGCTTATTTGCTTTCATCAGAAGACGAAGTCATACACCGTGATGTTAACAAATAATATATTGCTAGATCAGGTAGCCATACGCCACTTCAGATTTTTGGGCATGAGCAAAACACTTCCATGTTTTTGGTGTAATGCCAACTAAAGTTAACCATTTATTTTTCTTTTTTTATTATTATTTATTTTAGGATTTTAATGCAAAACTTGGAGGTTTTGAGTTGTCAAGATTTGGTCCCGAAATCCAGAAAACATATGTTTCAACACATTTTATGGGTACGCTAGCTTATGTTGACCCATGGTGTAGAGGGAATGGTATGTTAAATATTTGAACGAGAAAACTTTTATAACTAATAATTGTGTTTATCTTTCCTAGAAAACAATTCTAGCAAAGCATAAGAATAAGTCCTTTTAGATGCACTATGGAAACATATATAAATGAAGAGAAAACATCATATTATATTTTTTTGGGTCTAAATTCAATCTATGTAAAACCAGTGATTTGTTTTAAAGAGATACACCCAAGTGTAGTGGTTTAAAAGTTAAGCTTTATTCTATTTTCTAATTTTATACAATACACTTTAATGTTACAGGTCATGCAAAGAGTGACATCTATAGTTTTGGAATAATTCTGCTGGAAACCCTAACAGGTAAGCATGCACTAAATATGAAGCGAAGCACTTTTGAATTGCTAGCCGACAAAAGTGAGCTAAAGAAGTTAATGGATCCACGTCTTGAACGAAATTATCCCCTAGAAGAGGCTTTCCAATGCGCTGTATTGGCGTTGCAATGTATAGCTATGGATCGTGAGGATAGGCCTTCGAGTGAAGAAGTTTTGCGGATCTTGGAACAAATATATGTTAATAAATAATTAGATAAAATATATAATTATATACTTAGACGTTAGGTTTTTCGACAAGGAAAATAACTCATGTATTAGAAATCTCTTTTATTGCCCTGTTTAACATTAATGGAAGATATTTATTTTGATATTTGACAAAGATCATTGTCACTACAAGAAATAAGGGTATTACCTGCGACAAAAATTATCGTTATTGCTCACCAATGTTGCCGCTAATACCTTTACCGACGACAAGTCGTCGTTATCGTTTTGCCGTTGCTGCTTTGTCGCTACTGCTCAGAAAATCGCCACTAAAGCTCAATGTCGCCGCTAATGTTAATGTCGCCGTTAAGGCTCATGTCGCCACTTTGTCTTTTGTTTTTTTAAGTAGCCATTTTCGGGTGTCCAAAAACCGATACATAATAACGTTAAATGCAAAAAACCAATACGTTAAATGCAGAAAACCGATACGTTAAATGCAGAAAAATGATTACATAACATCCGAGTTTTATAATAACATCCGTATATAAATTAGATAACAAAAGTCTTATAAATTTATGTCAAACCACAATGTCTAATAAAAGATCTAATCCGTCGTGTCATCATCCCCGCCACCCTCGTTCCCTCCTAGAAGTTCCATTGTACATGCCGGATTGTTGAACATGGATCGAAGATTCTCCGACTACATAATAATTAACAATATATAAACTTCTAAGTTAAACTACTAACATAAACCAAAATAACAATTACCAAATGATAAGCAAACTACCAATTACCAAATTGTCTATGGGCGTGTTTGGCACGGAGTTTTTGGAAGCGTTTGCGAGCTTCTAGCTTTTAGCTTTTGACAAAACGCTCTAGTTTAAACAAAAAGCTTTGTTTGGCAGTACGAGCGTTTAGCTTTTAGTTTTAACAAAACGCTCCGATTCTAAAAGCTACTTCATGTAGCTTTTAACAAAACGCTCCGGAGCTTTTAAAATCAATTTCCTTAAAAATATATTTATATATTTTTTTATTTTTAATAAATTGTCCTTTTATGTAATTTTATATATTTCAAAAGTTTCCAGCTGTTTTTGCCAAACATTCATATAACAAATAAAAGTTACAACTTCCCGCTACCAGCTACCAGCTACACGCTACCAACTACCCGCTACCAGCTAACCGCTACCCGCTTCCAGCTAACAGCTACTTTTACCAAACACGCCCTATATATCAAACCAATGATGCATTCCTAACCCTTAAATCTGTTTTTTTTTTTTCAATAATGTTACTGTTGGATGCGTTCTTTATTGCTCTTGCATTTCAACATTAAATGATTATGATAAAAATATTTCTAAGCACTTACCAATCATAATTGGTAAAACATGTAACATAACCACTTAGCACATATATACTGTTAATTTATTTATGCAGTTTCACTTAACTAATTTTCTTAGTATCTTCTAATTTTTCAAATAAGAATAAACAGTTTTAGGATGTATGTGGTTCCACTCTGTTAAGCTCATAAATTTTGCTAATAGTAATAATTGAATCTTGATCAAAATTATTAGTCTTAAAAGTTAAACTCATAGGTCATAGCAAATATGAGTTCCAAGCACATAACCAAGTTTAAACATCTACAATTATAGTAAAAGACTCATTTTTTTTTTTTTTTTTGTTAACGTGAAATTTTTCAGGCTATAAATTTTCAAACTGAAATTCATATTTTCTCTTTCCTTTGAATATATATATATATATATATATATATATATATATATATATATATATATATATATATATATATATATATATATATATACTATTTAATTTAATATATCGTTATCGATATGAATAAATCTACTATCTATTCAAAATTGTTCCATTTACCCTTGTCATCCCAACTCACGACTCTAATCCCCTAATTTCGGCTTCTTTTTGGAAACTAAGTAACCTATAATCATGTCAGTTTGTAATTCAAAATCATAATCACACATACATTGTCGCCCTTCCTGTTTGCCACCTACATTGTCGTCTCATTGACACTGTTTTTCCCACCTTCATCCCTCTCTAATATTATTATGATCCTCAATAATATCAATACAAGATTACCAATGAAAGAACATGTGCTCGCCCATAATACGGTAGTGGTAGTGTCAAGTCGCCCGGAAGAGTAGAGAAAGAGAGTGGTGGTGCTCGAATGGCCTGAAACCTAAAATTATTGCAACTAAATGGGTAATCTTGGTGAGAGGAGAAAAGGAAAGAGAAAAAAGGAGGAGAAACGCAAACCATCACTAGTGATGCTCGATTTGTGGCCGATAATCATGATATCTCGATGATTATCGATCGTCGTTGTTGTGGTGGTGAAAGTCGGTAATCGTTTCCGATGGTATAGAACCAATCAAGGGTTTGGATGTAACGTCTGGTTCCAGGTACGCATTTAACTTATTTATTTATTTATTTTGAATGAAAGACTCGATGAGTTGGTGGCCCTAACTCGTCGAGTAGAGGGTAGCGTATGCACACGATTTGAGATATCTACTCGACGAGTAGCTCGGCCAGGGTGAAACCCTAATTTCAGGGTTTTGCACCCAATTTAATCATCTTAATCCCCACCCCTTAGTCTCATTTACAGCCTCCTTGTCCCAAACCCTAATCCACGAAACCCTAGAGCTTTCCTTGAGTGTGTGAGCCATTTTAAGTGATCTTTGTGCACTTTTGAAGCTTGTAAAAGAAGAAAGAGATAGAGGGCTCAAGAGGGAACGAGTAGATCCAGAAGCTTCACTCTATTTGCTGCATTTTCTGGTAATCAAGTACCTAATTTGATCATTCTTTTCTTAGATCTATTTACTTCCTTTTTATGAGGGTTTTGGTTCAAGAACCATGGTCTTTGGGATTTGGATGTCCCAAGTGACATATGTTTCAGATCTGGGATCTAGGAGGGGATCCATGGCATAAAGGTGAAAACTTTATGACCATGGAAACCCCATGAAAGCTTTTAAGCATTTATATGGCCTTTTTAGCCCTAAAAGGCCATGCATGGAAGCAAGCTCGAGACTTTATGTGGTTAACTGGTATCTAGGCCCTAGATCTAGGTTTTTTTATGCTTTGGTTTGGGATACTAAGGCTTTTTAGACAAGATCTATATCCTAAAGAAATTGGGGTTTTAGCTAAACCCTTCAAGAAGGGCAATCAATGGGTAAAGTTGGAAACTTTATCCTTAGAAAGGTCATTTCTAGTGAACAAGCGAAGTATGGACTTTGGATCTAAAGAACAAGGGTTTAATTTGTTAAGATGGCCAAATACATATAGGGACTCTTCGAGTCCATGAGGGAACTCGGCAGGTCGGGCCGTGTTGTATCATTCCAATTTATGGTAGAACTCGACGAGTCTGTAAAGGAACTCGATAAGTTGATTCGCCAAGTCGCGACTATGAGCAACTCGATAGGACTCGATGAGTCAGAGGAACGACTCGGCGAGTTGAGTCACAATTTCAAGGTTTTTGAGTTATAAGAGGTCGAGGAATTGAAAGGTTGACTCGACGAGTTGGTTAACTCAGAACGTTGACTTTGACCAGAGCATTGACTTTGACCAAGGGTAAAATGGTCATTTTACCCTGAGATGGATTT